TACAAGATTAATAACTAAATGATTTATCAATTGATTTTCACAACTGAGCAACGATGAAGAAAATTAAAATTAATAAGTTTATGAGCAATATGTATTGTTAGGCGATATTTGTTGGAGATCACTTTCGTTTGGAGCACGATCAAAAATCAGGAATGACCTAAAAACTCCTCAGTTTGTGTATTGTAAGCCTGGTCAGTGTATAGCAGCAGTGCTCACAGGAAACGAATCGTTATGTCTGCTTGATTAATGTAAAATATTATGACCAATTTCATTGGTAATGATTGCTTTCTTCCACTGAGGTTCTCATCCTGCTACCGTAAGGTAACTGTCATATGAAGAGCAGTGGTTTATTCAAAGATACTTTTAAAACATAGGTCTCATTAAGTGGTGTTATTAACGATACAGAAATTCATGGCAGTATACCCATCAGTTCTCAACCACCATTTCACTCGAAAATAATTCAATTTAAGATGGCTCTCAGAATTAACAAAATGACACAAAATTTGGTCTGACAATATACCAGCAGCAGCCCTAAGGTCAGACATTGAAATAACTGCAAACATGATTCACTTTCTATTCAAGAAGATTTGGAAAGAGGTACAAGTGCCAACGGACTGAAAAGAAGATCACCTCATCAAGATACCAAAGAAAGGAGATCTGAGCAAATGTGAGAATTACAGAGGCAGCAAACTGTTGTCAGAACCAGGAAAAGTTTTCAACAGGGTGTTACTGAACCGGATGAAAGACTCAGTAGAAAACCAACATCGAGATAAACAGGCTGGATTCCGTTAGGATCGGTCGTGCACAAACTAAAACATGACACTACGGATCATCGTTGAATAATCAATTGAATGAAACTCGTCAGCATACATCAACTTCACTGAATATGAGAAGGCATTTGATAGTGTAGATAGGAGAACATTATGGAAATGTTCTTCAACACTATGGAGTTCCTGAAAAGATTGTCAACATTATCCGGAATTCATACGATGGATTACAGTACAAATTGGTGGATGGAGGACAGCTGACAGATGCATTTCCAATAAGGCCCTAAGTCAGGTAAGGCTGTCTACTCTCCCCCTTCCTCTTCCTTCTGGTGATTGACTGGATTATGAAGACTTCGACATCTGGAGGAAAGCACAGAATACAACTGACATCTCGGAATCAATTAAAAGATTTGGACTTCGCTGATGACCTAGTCCTCTTATCCTTTACACTTCAATAAATACAGGTCAAGACAAACAGTGTAGCAACAGCCTCTGCATCAATAGGCCTCAACATACACAGACGAACAAGCAAGATTCTCAAATACAACACAGAGAACATCAACCCAATCGCACTTGATGGCGAAACTCTGGAAGAGGTGGAAACATTCAAGTACCCAGGAAACACAATCGATAAACAAGGGGGATCGGATGCAGTTGTGAAGGTGAGGATTGGCAAAGCAAGGACCGCATTTCTACATTTGAAGAACATATGGAACTCAAAACAGTTGTCAACTAACTTCAAGGTGAGAATATTCAATACGAATGTCAAGACATTCAGTTCTACTGTACGGAGCTGAAATGTGGAGAACTACTACATTCATAGTCAAGAAGGCCTACGTATTTATAAACACTTGTCTATGCAAAATACTCAACATTCACTGACCGGATACTATCAGCAACAGCGTTTTATGGGAAAGGACAAACCAGCTTGGAGCTGAAGAGGAAATTAGGAATAGACGTTGTAATTTGATAGGACATACATTAAGGAAATCACCAATGTGCATATCGAGGTAATCCCTAACTTGGAATCGTGCTGGGGAGCGGAAAAGTGGAAGGCGAAAGAACAAATTAAGTCGGGAAATAGAAGTATATATGAAATGGATGAATGTTAACTGTGAAGAACTAGAAAGGATTACCCAGGACAGGGTTGAATGGAGAATACTCATTGCGAGGCTAATGCTCCTCCACGATAGGTAATAGGGGTAAGTAAGCAATTCCATGTGAGGGCTAGTCCTGTGACGCAATTGGGTGATTTCCTCAGTGTGTGTCCTATCCATTTCCACCACTTCTTCCTCATTTCTTCCTCCACTGGATGGAATCTGGTTTGTTCTATCCGACAGTAGGTTATTGCTGAGAGTGTCTGGCCAACGTGTCCGAAGTATCTTGTGTATACAACTGTTAATGAACACTCGTATCTTCTGGATGGCTTTCGTAGTTCTCCAAGTTTCCGTCCCATACAGTAGAACTGTTTTGACGTTTGTATTGAAAATTCTGACCTTGGTGTTGGTTGACAGTTGTTTTTAGTTCCAGATGTTGCTCTTACTTTGCAGATCCGCATACTCACATCTGCATCAGATCCACCGTGTTCATCAATGTTGCTGCCCAGTTATCTGAATGTTTCCACATCAAGTGTAATTTCATTGATGCATGCTATATTGTATCTGAGAGTCTTGCTTTTCCCTTTGTTTATATAAAGACCTACTGCTGTTGAGGCTGGTGCTACACTGGTCGTCTTCTCCTGTATTCGTTGTTGCATGTGTGATAGAAGAGCCAGATGATCTTCGAAGTGTAGATCGTTCAGCTGCATCCTAGCTGTCCAGTGTGTCCGGTGCTTCACCCCAATTGTTGACATCTTCATAATCTAGTCGATTACCAGGAGAAAGAGAAAGGGTGAGAGTAACCAACCTTGTCTGACACCGGTCTTTACTTAGAACAAGTCAGTGAGCTGTCCTCTATGTATAACTTTGCAGTTTGGTCCATCATAGGAATTCCTTATCATATTGACTATCTTCTCAGGCACACCGTAGAGTCGAAAAAGGGATCAAACAATAAAATCACAGTATTTTAATTATTAATCCCATAGAAAGGAAGAACTAATTATCCATCGAACTTGAAACAAAATCTCAACCGATCATATTTAACCTATTCCAATCATACATCTATTTCTTCACCTCTTGACTATCATTTTTTTCACGATCATTTAGAAATACATGAACGAGTACAAATATATCTCATCGAATGATCTAGATAACATGTAATCATAATCAAACTTGGTTATTATTATTAATGTCTTTATTCAATATAATATTTTTGGTAGAATATAGAGTGCTCAGCACAAAATATTTCAACAAGTTTCCTTTCCTTTATTTCTTCAGCTATCCTGATGATAAATATTGAATGTTCATCAATTAGATGTTAGCAGTTCAAGAAACGACATCAGAACAATGATCATTGTTTTTGCAATGAATATTGAAATCCACTACAATGTCTCTGAATGTACTTTTTTGTAAGTTGTACAATGAAAGATTATAGACTTTTCATTAAACGCGCCTAAATATGTTATACGATGAATGGGCATAATGATGTGTTTAAACAAACAAAATATATTTAATTGCTAAGATATGTTGATGTCAGCAACAGATAGCCCAGATATTCAACCAAGCATCCAAAGTTTTAACTATACAAAATATTTAGATTTTTTTCTTTATATTACATAAATTTATAATAATTTGAATTTAATTACTGATTTATTGTTTTAAAAATCAAAATAAGATGTTATAATGAATATATATCAGCAATCCAATGTGTCTACTCATTAGGATGTTATAAATACCTTAATATATTAGCGCAATACATTTGAAACAATCTGATCACTCATATACTTGTTAACAACATTTATATATAAAAATAAAAGGCCAACTAGACTGGGAATGGGGGAGGGTAAGGGTAGACAAGGATAATAATAATAATAATAATAATAATAATAATAATAATAATAATAAGCAAAGATGGTTAGTGGCTACCAGTGGAATCCAGGACGCCCACCCCTTAGTCCTACTTGGGACTCGTCAGCTGGAAGTACCTGTATCTCAGATTTGATTTTCGCTCTGGGACTCGAACCCCGTACCTTTCGCTTCAAACGCCATCATTTCAACTTCACCCCATTGCACAAGCTAGTAGATATCAGGACTCAGTCGTCGAGTGAAGTTTGAAGCAAAAGCTAATGGGTTCGAGTCTCAGAGTGGACATCAACTCTGAGACGCAGGTACTTCCAGCTGACGAGTCCCAAATAGGATGAAACGTGCATCAAACAGGATTCCAGTGCTAGCCACTATCTATCTTTGCCTACCATGCTTGTTAATTTAGGCTATATCGAGGCAACACGCACAGTATGCACATATGCTTATTAGAGACTGACCAGTTGCAGTCAATGAGAAGATTCAAACGAACAATATTAAGTAAATTTCAATAATAATAATTATTATTATTATATGTGAACATGTACCAAAACGGTTGCAGAAACAAATAGAATCAAATGACCCGATAAGAGTAGAGGATAAACATCCATTATCATCTATTGCCAAACATATAATCGAAATAGGCCAATAAGATTGATCTTAACTCAGCCTTAGCCATACGATAAATTCAAACTCCCTTTGTATATTCAAAAAAAAAACAGTTTGTTATCACCTTAAACATATCCTGGTAATAATACATGCTTATTATCCAGAATGATTAGGGGTCAAATTGTTTTCACATTATTATTATTATTATTACCCCCCATTTTCATTCTAGTTGACCTTTTATTTTTTTATATATATAAATGTTCTTAACAAGTATATAATGTGTGATTAGATTGTTCAAAATATATTGCGCTAATATATCATCACATAGTTCTTCTAATAATCTTCATTTTCTTATTAAACTATCAAAATTAATCAAAGGGATTAATTACTTTAAATATCTTAATATAGTTAAGAAGAGATAGATTTATATTATTAACCTTCTATTGGTAGAAATAATCAACAACTTAAAATTGTTTATATCAATAAATATTTAAATTGTTTCATTTATTTAAATATTCACTTAGTAACAAAATTCTACATAGTAACTATTTTAATATTATTCATTCAATAAATCAATACACAATTATTTTTTAATTATATTGTTAAAATAAGAAATTTTCATTTAAATTTCATATACTACTATTATTATTACTCATATCAAATAATAATGAATTCATTTTATAATATGACTGAATTAAATACACCATTAGATACATTAATAGATTGTATGATGATTAAAACAAAACATTCAAATGCAAGTTATATAGCATGTATCATTTCAAATATTTATGGAACTTTGATAGGATATTTTTTCCCAATTATTGGAATATTTAATATAATTACTAACAGTATTATCATTGTTATATTTATTATATTTCTTCATCATAAAAATAGATATTTTATATATTTAGGAATATTAGCTATATCAGATATTGGAATTAATATTTTTATTGGTTGGTTATGGTTATTTCCATCTTATGGTCTACCATATATAACATCCGGATCTATATACTATTTTATATTAACAATATCTAGTATTCATTGTCGTTTATGGAAGTCGATTCAAATATTCTGGTGTAATCTCCGAGGTAATATGTATATAGTATTAGCATTTGATCGTTTACTTTTATTATATAAACCTTTAAATTATAAAGTATCTTCTTCTATAATACTACTTATTATAATATTTATTATCAGTATTACAATGTCATTACCAATTATAATCTATACAGATTTGTTAATAACTCAACAGCTCCTCACTTGTTGGTTTACGAATTACAGAGTATTACTCTCATTCTACAAAGTGTTATTTTCTAATTCATGCCTATTTCAATTAACACTTGTTAGTTTAGTAGATATATTCTTCTTAGTAAAGATAATCAAATGGTCTCATCAACGTCGTCATATTAAGAATACAATATCAGCTTTGAAAACAAAACAAATATCAAAGATTAAAACAATTCTTTTATTGGATATTATATCATTTATATGTTCAATGCCAAGTAGTATTGTTTATATGTATTTATCATCTAAATATAAACCAAATATAGAATATATACGTGTATTAACACTACTAATTCATATGTCATGGAGTTTAATATTTTTACAATCTTCATTAAATATAATACTATATTATAAACGTATAAATTATTTTCGTCAAATTTTATTAAAATTTATTAATGGTCATCATTATATCCATGGAAGATTATCAATGATTTACAAGTCATAGAAATAAATGTAATTATGGAGTCCCATAATAGGACGAAACGGCCGTCCAGTGTTTCCACGTTTTCCATGGTGGTCTAGCTTCAATTAACTCATGCTTTAAAAAAAACTATGAAAAATACTAAATCTCCACAAAACCCCCTCTGATAATTAAAATGTAAAATTACCAAAGGAAATTCTTTTATCATTATGATTGTATCCATTTGAATTCTTGTCAAAAAAAAGAAAAGAAAAAAAGATTAGTAATTTCTCTCAATGTTGTAATTGATAGTACAATTTATAGATTGAAAAATTTCTTTTTTATCATTCAATGTTTACTAGTAGAAATATTCATATGTAGATTGTATACATTCATTTAGTATTGTTTGTTTGAATCTTCCTATTGATGTTTTTTTTTTAAGATTGTAATTGGTCAGTGTCTAATTCGTATATGGGAATGCTGTGTGTATTGCCTTGATATAGCCTTAATTCACAAGTATTATAAGTAAAGATGGATAGTAGGTATCATTACCAAGTTTTGATTTGATAATTTTGAATAAATTGAGCATTAGGTGGATTGTTATAAATAAATTAATATATTTGTAATATCCCAATGAGTAGAAAAATGAGATTTTCTGACGTTTCGTGACTCAGTGTAAGCCACTTCTTCAAAGAATAAATAACCAAATTAACATTAATCCAAGTTTAAATAGTACAACGGAACAATCCAAGACTGTTAGGTGATCAATCAAAAAACAGATCTGAATAGATCAATGTCATGTCATTTCATTTCGGTCAAGGTGATTCATAAGGGATATGTATGTAATTTTGTGTGTATGCATGCACTGTTAATAATGACAAAATGTGTGACCTTTGTAATGACAAAGGATAGAATTTGATTTGTAATGTAATGGTGTGAAATTGTAAATAATATTAGACTGGTTGACTAGGATAGATAGTCCAAGTGGGATGTATGGTAAGGCCTTCTTTTCTATTGAGGGCAGTGGGATTAAGCATTATATGGAAAGCTTCCGCTACTCTTGTTTCTTTGTGATTGCAAAAACCTTTCTGTAGTATTTTGATATTTTTGAAATCAATTTGATGACTGTTGAAAAAGAGCCAACAATATCATCTCTTCAGAAGAGGACAAACAAAAAGAACAAAAGAATGTAATTAGCATCTTACAATTTAATAATCTTCCTATGAAGATTACTAGAAGTATATTAAAACGAGACAATTCAGTACGCAATAATAATAATAATAATAATAATAATAATAATTCGAAGGAAATGCCATGGACTTGTGCTGCAGTTTTACCATACCGTCATGGCACAACTAAATAACTCCAAAGAATCTTAAGACAACACAGAATTAAAGTATATTACAAAACAACAACGAACACTCTTTGAAATACTTTAGTTCGATTAAAAGAAAAGATACCATTCATGTCTACACAGAACTGCGTCTACAAATTAGGTTGTGTCGACTGTGATGCATTCTATATTGGAGAGTCATCTCGCGAAATCTTAACTCGCGCCAAAGAACATATCAGGTACACAAAGAAACCTCCTAATAATCCTGTAGAATTAAGTAGACTTCAGATTAAATCGGCACTAGCAGTCCACGCCATTTTCAACAGTCATCAAATTGATTTCAAAAATATCAAAATACTACAGAAAGGTTTTTGCAATCAGAAAGAAAGAAGAGTAGCGGAAGCTTTCCATATAATGCTTAATCCCACTGCCCTCAATAGAAAAGAAGGCCTTACCATACAGCCTACTTGGACTATCTATCCTAGTCAACCAGTCTAATATTATTTACAATTTCACACCATTACATTACAAATTAAACTCTATCCTTTGTCATTACAAAGGTCACACATTTTGTCATTATTAACAGTGCATACATACACACAAAATTACTTACAAGTCGAATCACCTTGACCGAAATGAAATGACATGACATTGATCTATTCAGATCTGTTTTTTGATTGATCACCTAATATTCTTTGATTGTTCTGGTGTACTATTTAAACTTGGATTAATGTTAATTTGGTTAATTATTCTTTGAAGAAGTGGCTTACACTGAGTCACGAAACGTCAGAAAATCTAATTTTTCTACTTATTAGGATATTACAAATATATAATTTATTTAAAGATGGATAGTGGATAGTAGTGGAAACCAGGACGCGCGTTTTGTCCTATTTGGTAATCGTCAGCTAGATGTACCTGATAAGTGAATTTAAACTTCACCCCATTGCACAAGCAAGTGGCTATCAGGACTCAGTAGGTGGATGGATAACTCAATTCAAGTTACTACTTCATATTAGTCAACCTCAACATTAACGATTAGATTTGATTTTATATGACAAACAAACGTTAGTTCACATGTTATAATTTAAAATGATGTACTCTAACTCAAACCTGACCAATTATTATGGATTATTAATTTGGATACGATAATTGTAGAACCTGATGAGAAATTATTGAAAAGAATGTTCTTCGTTCATATAATATTTATAACTAAAATTCACTGGGTATTGTTTGCTTGTATCATCACATTGATGTTTAGGACTGCAATTGATCAGTGTCTTATTGGAATATGTACATACTGTGCATATTGCCTCGGTATTGCTTTAATTCTAAAGCATTTTAAGCAAAGATAGATAGTGGCTAGCAGTGTAATCCAGGACACTTATAAAGCTTGTAACTTAAGGTAGTACTGAAACATTCTGCATAGTATGCACATATGTCAACAAGAAACTGATCAATTGCAGACCTAAGCAACAATGAGAAAATCCAAACAAACAATACTAAGTGAATTTAAACTTCACTCCATCGCACAAGCAAGTGACTATCAGGACTCAGTAGGTGTGTGAATAACTCAATGGCGTTTGAGGCGAACGGTACTGTGTTCGAGTCCCAGAGTGAACATCAACTCTGAGATGCACGTACATCCAGCTGACGAGTTCCAAATAGGACGAAACGCTCTTCAAACTGTATTCCACTGCTAGCCACTATCCATCTTTGCTTATCATGCTTGTGAAGTAAAGCTATATCGCGGCAATACGCACAGTATGCACATATGCCAATTAGACACTGACCAGTTGCAGTCCTAACACATCAATGGGAAGATTCAAACAAACAATACTAAGTGAATTTTACTGCAATTTACAGATTTGAAAATTTCTGTTTTATCATTAAGTGTTTACCCGTAAAAATATTCACATGCAGTTTGTATACAGTTGTAAAAGAAATTGTCTTGTAAAATGACCACATATTCACCATTCGTCAAGTTTTAGAGCACAGACACGCTTATCGGCGTCCGACAATGATAGTTTTTCTTGACTTGAAAGCAGCATTTGACTCTGTAGACCGAGAGGTTCTGTGGCAGTGTCTGTCATTGAAAGGTGTACCTGAGAAGTACATAAACCTTGTGAAGGCTCTTTACTCTAACACTATTAGTCGAGTGAGAGCTTATGGCGAACTGTCATATGATTTTACAACCTCAAGTGGTGTCCGACAAGGCTGTCCACTATCCCCATTTTTGTTTAACTTCATTATAGACCTGTTGCTGGAAATAACACTCTGTTCGACTGAATTTACAGGAATTGATCTCCTACCAGGGGGACCACTAAGCGACTTAGAATACGCAGATGACATAGTCCTGTTTGGTGAAAACGCTGGCAAAATGCAGTCTTCTGTTGGAACTCAGTAATAATGCCAGGATGTTTGGGATGCGTTTCTCCCCATCCAAATGTAAATTGTAACTCTAGGACTGGCCTGCGTCAACACCTGAACTAAGGATAGGGATTGAAGCAGTCGAACCCGTGGACAACTTCACTTATCTTGGAAGTCTGATCAGCCCTAATGAGTTGGTGTCTGACGAAATCTCAGCACGGATTCAAAAAGCTCGTTTGGTTTTTGCCAACTTACGTTACCTATGGCGAAGACGAGATATCCGTCTATCAATTAAGGGACGAGTATACTGCGCAGCAGTTCGCTGTGTTCTACTTTACGGCTGCGAAATGTGGCTATCAAGTGTAGAAGATACTCGTAAGTTACTAGTATTTGACCACAGATGCCTTAGAAATATTGCTCGCATCTGCTGGGATAACCGGGTAAGTAATAGTGAGGTTAGAGGCAGGGTATTAGGGAATTATGGTAAATCAGTTGATGAGGTGATGAATCTTCATCGACTGAGATGGTTGGGCCATGTGTTACGTATGCCTGAACACCGATTACCACGACGCGCTATGATGACTAGTGTAGGGGATTGTTGGAAGAGAGTTAGGGGCGGCCAAACCAAAACATGGCATCAGTGTTTGAAGTCACTAACTTCTAGTCTGAGCCATGTTGGCAGATGCAGACTACCTGGTTGGGGTCCGCGTGACTATCGTAACCAATGGTTGGAGACTCTGTGTGACATGGCTCAGAATCGATCACAATGGCGTAGGTGCATACACTCTTTATTTTCCCTTAAACCTTGAGACTAAAATTGCTTCATATCTCTCCTCCTTCCTATACTATATCCTTATATACAACCTATAATTTATATACTACTACCATCACTAAATTAATTACTTCTATGAACCCGGTGTTCATCTTGTTGTGCTAACAAAGTATGGCAACTTGGACCGATGCATAAATGTGCCTGGTCCTACGTTGTAGCTGACTGACTGACTAACTTGTAAAATGAATGGCGAAAAACACTAAAAATTGTAAATTTTCAGGTTGTGAAACTTTGACAGAGAATGATGCTGAAGTCACTATTAGTAAAGCATGAAGCTATTTAAATAGGCTATGGATCAGCTACACCAATACCCGGAGCTTTCTCAATAAACAGTCTGAACTAGGTGTACAGACTGACTCCACTAACCTAAATATAATCGCAGTCAAAGAAACTTGACTCACAACAGCCTATAGATAGTATGAAACTTAATTTTTCAATGTTCCATGTTTGATAAGAGTCAAAATAATCCAGAAGTGTAAAGGAGGAATAGATATATAGTTTGAACCACTTTAT